AGGGCTCACCAGGTGGCAGAGGAGCAGACACAAACAACTCATTGTACATTTAGATTCAATAAGAACAGTGAATCCCAGATTAAGTACTATGGGAGGAGAGAGTGAGGTGGAGAAGAGAAAGATACCAGAGATGTCTTCCAAACTGGGTTTTAAAGAATGCCTAGGATTTCACCTGCCAGAGGTCGGGGAAAGAAAAGATGCAGAAATGGGGAGGAGAATATTTCAGGTAGGCAAAGGAGCTCCAAGGAAGCATACGAGGTCCAAAAATAATTGCATGGAAATGATGAATAATCCAGTGTACAAACAGTGTGCATGGGCAGCTGCTTGGGGTGCAGAGAAGGAAGAATGGGGTGGTGAATTAGTCTGGAAAGGACATTAGTGGCACCTTAGAAATGGCCTTGAATGCCATAATAAGGATATCTTAGTTTTTGAGTATAAAGAAGAGAAATTATCAAACATTTTGAAGTGAGAAAAGTGACATAACTGTTTCTGAAAGATAAATGATGGGATTCGAAGAACAGATTAAAAGGGGGCCCTCTGTCAGAATAAAGCACGGTTAGCATGCTAAAAAGGAATCAGTATTCTTTCTTTTAATAAAAGTGAATGCACTAGGTCTAATTAAAATTCTACTCAAGTGAATCCAACACCACCCACATGCTTTCCCCAAAATACAATTGTAAGAACATGGTTTCCTTGTAGCATTTTCCAAAGAAGCAACATTAGTTTAGGAAATTATAGGAAAAGGTAAAGTAAACATATACTAAATAAAAATAAGCACATGAAGGACAGAAAGTATCAAAGTTCAGTTTCTCCATCATCAGAAAATATTTATGAAGTTATTTATTGTGTTTTTTATGCTAATACCTACTGAAAGACTTAAAGGACCTTTAAGTATTTCTTAAGACTTAACATAAAATTTTGCTGAAAATGGCAATCACTTAATGAAGTTACAAAAATCTTCAAAATACTCTCCAATTTAAAAGATACAGACCTGCAAATCTGACCACACATTATGGACTAAATAAGTAGCTTTAATTTGGTGAGCCAGTTTTCATGATCTGGTTTTTCACATACCTATTTGATCACTGCAAAATCAAAATGAAAGTTAAACTAATTCATCAAAAGTTATGTATTTCTTCTACAGTTGTTTACAGTACTCATTATGAAAGAGAATAATAAAGTAAGTAAAGTATACACATCAATTTCTCTGCTCTCTTTTGAAGTGTTCTAAAGGATTTTTATCCCATATCCCATTAAATGCTTTCTTTGGCATTTTATTCCCTTAGAAAGTTTCCAGATAAGGACTAATTATAACATTTTAAAAATTATATAAATTATTGAGTTTTAACATAAGTGTTAAATGCTAATTCACAATTACAATAGAGTAAAAATGCTACAGTTTTTAAGTCCATGAAAAAAGTTTACTTCTAATCTTATGTTATATAAACAATTAAACTTAAAGAAACTTTCAGAATAATATTTCAAGTAGTCTGAAACAGTATATCACTTGAAGACAATTTATTTAATTAGCAAGAAAAGCTAAACAAAATGCAGAAGAAATAATTCAGTGATCTTATTTTCTGTCTTTAGTAATCTTGCTGGTCAGAGATTCCAATCAAGTTAATCTTGTTAACAAGGCTAATACAAGGAGACCTATAACTCCACTCAAATTAAAAATATCCCAAAGAATTTAAACTAAAAAGAAGCATGGGATAGCAAAAAGAAAACTTTTGTGGACTATGAATTTGGTCCTAGCTCTGGTTCTTTTAGGCTGTATGACTTAAGACAAGCTTTTAACCACTTTATCTTAATTTTCCTTATTACTATAATGAGGTGACTGTAACAGATACTAGGAGTATAATATGTAGTTCAACTAACCCTGGGGTGTAGCCTGAAATGAGATTATAATTTCACTGCTGTTGAACACAAACAAGTATTTACAAAATACTATGTATAAGGTGTAAAGAATGTCAATAAAATGAACACTTATATGCAACACCAAACTTGAGAAATAGAACATTAACAGTCTCTAGAAATTCCTATGTGCCCCTCATCTTCCCCACCTCATCACTTTGTCCACTCAGTTGTCCTCCCTCCCATAGGATACTATACCACTGAATATTGCTTGTGTTTATCATTCTTATGCTTTTCTTGATTGTTTACCACATATTTACATTCCTGAATTAATTATACCGTTTGTGATTGTTTCCAAATTATATACGGCTTTTTCTATAGCGTTTAGATTCACAACATTCATCCACTTGGATGCATGTAGTTGTAATTCATACATTTTCACTATGGCACAGTATTCCACAACAGTTTATCCATTCTCCTATTAATTAAATTTTCATTCCTAGACTTTTGCTCTCATAAACATTGCTGCTATTGATCATTCTTTTTTGTTGTTATTGCTGTTTAATTTAATTTTTTTTAATTTGGCTGGGCCGAGCTGCACGGCTTCGGGATCTTAGTTCCCCGGCCAGGGGTTGAACCCGCGCCTGGGCAGTGAAAGTGCTGAGTCCTAACCGCTGGACTGCCAGGGAATTCCCCTTTTCCGTAGTTAACAAATGGCATGTGGGGGAAAATGAAGCCCTAAAAGCTGGCTTCACTTCTCTTGGTTTCCATCTTCTCTTAGATATTTGCTGTGTAATTTTTAATTTCCTTGATAGTCTCTGATGTTCTCAAACCAATTAAAAACAAATTTAACTACACACATACTTGCATACACACACACATACTTGTACACACACACCACACACTTGCATATATACACATCTCTAGCATTTTTAGTTTTTCTCAGAAGGAGGGTTAGCCTTAATTACTTAGTCTGCTGTTACTGGAAGCAGGTTTCTATCATTTTCTTTGGTTTCTGCACATGCCATCCTGACTAGAATATGGAAGACTCCTGTGTGGACACTACATCCTATGCATTCAGAACCTGATAGGCTGCCTGCCCCACAATGAACAACCACTGGGTTAAAAAATATAACATGTGCAAGTCTTGGCAACTAATTAGAATGTGTGGTTTGATGATGAGAAAAGAAAAGAATCGAATATGATTTTAAGATTTCTAAAGCTTGAAAATGGTCATGCAATTCCCCAGAAATGACAAAAGAAGTCAAGAGACAGAAGAAAGAGGAACAGAATTGGTGGGAAGCTGACTTTGTTTTTTGGCTGTGGCTGAATCTGGTGTATTTTTAAGGTGCTTAAGGTACTTAAGTGAGGCTGTTCAGAAGCTGTTGCTCTATATTGAGAAATAGAGATTTGAACTTCAAAAAAGACGTAGGAGCTGGATACATGATTTAAGTTATTTGTTGTGAGGGTAACTGTTAAGAGAAAGAGGAAATATAAAGAGACAGCAGCTAAGTATAAAACACTAGAGAATTTCTGGATATACCAAGGGGATGAGTAAGAAGAAAAATGCTTACAGAAGACAGATGAGAGTTCAAGGTAGGAAAAGGAAACTTAGAGGAATGCAGCTTAATGGAAGACAATGAGGACGAGAGTTTGGAGAAAACAATTATTACATGATCAAATATGGCTGAAAGCTCAATAAAGATCTGGAATCAAAGAAGTTTTAAATAACATCTACTGAGTAATAAAGGCAGGCAGGACTGTGGAGGATTGGAGAGGTTTGAATTTTTAAGTGAGAAGAAATGTTCAGAAAAGGGTGTAGATGATCTTAAGTGGTCATCAAGAGAACAACAAACACAGTAATGAACAGATTTGAGGTCTTAAAGGAAGGCAGGCAGTCAATATTTGAGTAGATGTGAATTTGCACAATTTTGTGACTTTTTCCAACAAGGTTAGCATCTTGGGGTGAGTTTAGAGAAAGGAACCAGTTTTCAGGAAACCACGAGAAATTCACTTTCAGACATTTTGAAGATTAATATATGGAAAAGAGAATGGAGATAGGGACACAGATTTGGGAGTTATCTACATAGAGATGACAATTAAAATCAATGGTATATTGGGCTTCCCTGATGGTGCAGTGGTTGAGAGTCCGCCTGCCGATGCAGGGGACACGGGTTCGTGCCCCGGTCCGGGAAGATCCCACATGCCGCGGAGCGGGTGGGCCCGTGAGCCATGGCCGCTGAGCTTGTGCATCTGGAACCTGTGCTCCGCAACGGGAGAGGCCACAACAGTGAGAGGCTGGCGTACCACCAAAAAAAAAAAAAAAAAAAAAAAAAATCAATGGTATATGTAGATATTTATATGTCATAATTTCTTTTAGTAAAAAAATAGGCTATTTTTCTTAGAGAAATTATACCTAATCTGAAAATAGCTTCTATTTCTGTTAATAAGTTTGGATTTGTTTTTAAGAACTTGAAAACTACCCTATTTTAGTTTGAAGAATAATCCTATTATAACGAAATGGCAATCAGAATCCTAAAATTATAACTAGTACGAAGAAACATTCATGAAACTTGAAGGGACTGTGGATGTATGCTTGAGTATGGCAGTTGTTAAACCAAATATTATGAAAAATTCTCCTAATCCTTGCCTTTCTGTATAGGCAGCCATTATCTGGGGAAAACAGAAACAAAACATATGCAAGGCTACTATTCTACCAGTAGAGACATGAATGGCCACACTGGCTATTTAAGATTGATATCTGTTCTAATTAGTTAAGTGTTTATGCTGTAGTGGTTGTGAAATATTTTAAATATAACCTCTGCTCATATTATAATATTATATTCACTGAATTACTTACATATAACATTTCAATATTTCTCAAATTCTGAAGTACATTTTACATATATTTCTTTATCATCACAACAACCCTTCAGGACAAAAGTGAATCATTAGAACCCTTACTTTAATAATGATTAACCTAAGATACGGTTGCTGCATAGTTCTTTGTTACTTACTGAAATCACGCTCAAATTCAAAGCTTCTTCTACTAATAACAATGACCCTGAATGAATTCACCTGAAAACTAAAAGTCACTTCACTTACAATACAGGATAGTTATTCTTATTGAAATGAAATCATCATACCATTTGGTGATGCCATAACAATCTTTAATAATATCCTGAAGTACGGCACGATAGAAGAGTGATTCAGTAGGCAGCTGAAAAAAATGCAGATATATATGAGCATAAGAAACAAATAAAAAAGAGAAATCAAATCAATACTTGAGAGTCAGAACCATAAGTGAATGTTAGAAACCTGAGTTTGTTGCTAAACATAGGGGATAATTTTATAACTTTTCTATTCTAAGTTACAATGTACTTGGAGGCTAGTTCTCATTGAGAAAATAGAAGAAACTATAAAAGAAGTAGTAGTGAATGAGGAAGAAAAGGAATAATCAAAGAAAAATTAGCTAATGTCCCAAATGGAGTGTTTATCAGTTAAAAACGTAGAAATAAACTTCATGACCAACCAAGTCAGTCCTGTATAAGAGAGCAGACATGTAGGATGTGTGCAAAAGAGATAAGAATGTGCATCTTTCCTAATGGTAGTGGATTAGAGATATTACCAAGGATTCACAGCCAGAGAGAGAAGGTACTACCCTAAGTAAGGATATACTAAAATATGTCTGAGGCCTAAAAGATCACAGCATTGCTACTACAGAGTTGAAAAGAAGGGCCTTGGAAAGGACATGAGATCAGAGACTGAAGTCTCAGCAGGAATTCATTTCCTGGGGAAAAAGAGGCAGGAAGTGTCCGTGAAGGTGCAGAGGTAGGAAAAAAGGAATGGCTGAAGAGAAGGTCCCTAATGACGCATAAGAGTTTCAAAGTAGAAGGTAAAAAAGTACTATACATAAAAGAAAGAGTGCTTCACTGTAGCAATGTAAGAGGTACCCTTAAACTAAGAAAATACAAAAAGTTGCCAAAACTCCATCCACATCCCCATCCAACAGAGATATCAGCAACAACCACCTTGCTTCCATGCAAAGTTATTATCGAAAAAAAAAAAGGAAAAATGAGCAAATATGGAGGGAGGCTGGCAATACTGAATGCTTTTGAGAAGTCAAGTAAGTTAAAAACTAAAAACTCTCCAACTATGGGTAATGTTTTAAAGATAGAGTTCAGTGGAATGTGTACTTCACTGAGTTATCCTTTTGTAACTTCTATTCTCCTTCTGAGCCCCAAATTGTTATCTCCATTTGTTTTCAATGAGAACACATCTGGATTCAGGTGGAGTTTAACAGAAAATAAAACTTTGCCTGTGTGCTCAGGCAGAAAACCTACTCTACTGTCCCTTTCCCCCATCTAACATCAAGTTCCTACACTATGGGCCCCAGGTGCTGAGACTACAAAAAAACACAAGTTGGGAGTCGAGGGTCAACAATTATTTCCTGGGTCTTCACCCAACGGCATTGCCTTCTTAAGTCACTGGAGAATGTCTGACTTGTAGGGTCTTGACAGAGCACTTTGAACAACACAAGTTATATCCTCTCTGGATGTTCACAACAGTGAGGAGGGTGATTACAGTAGGAAACGGTGTTAGGGATACCACAGTCCCCAACTCAACTCCTAAAATAACTCAATGAAAGCAGACACAAATACATACTTGAGTGCTCACACTGAACTTTATAACCTTCAAAAGGCACACTCCTTATGAAAAATCTCTTTCCAAATACAACTTCTTGAGACAAAATCTGATTTCTAAACTTTCCTTTCTTGAAGATTTCTCCAAACATTTCATTAAGAATTTCCTCTCTCTAGATATATTTTCCATTTGATGTTTTTTCATCTTGAGTAATTTTTTTCTTCAGTACCCCAAATCTCTATCATCTGCTCCCCACTTTCCCCAAATCCTTTCAGTTCTCTCACAAAAATGCTGAAATCCCTTTTCATATATTAACACCTACTCTTATACTGTTCTACTGAAATTCAAGGCATTTTGGGAAATAAACTATTACATGAAGTGAAATATTAGTATTATAAATGACTGACAAAGTTCTTAACTTTTTAGTTGATTAGCTATAATAGGTAGGATTTTTATTTATTTTTAATATCTTTATTGGAATATAATTGCTTTACAATGGTGTCTTAGTTTCTGCTTTATAACAAAGTGAATCAGTTATACATACACATATGTCCCCATATCTCTTCCCTCTTGCGTCTCCCTCCCTCCCACCCTCCCTATCCCACCCCCATCACAAAGCACTGAGCTGATCTCCCTGTGAGGAATTTCATTTTTATGTAAATTTTATATGAAACTCCTAAAAATAGTCAAGCTGTTATTTGAACTGAAGAAGCCTAGCTCTGATGTCCCAGTAGTACCAAGTCATGATGCTATTTTGCCTCTCTGACACTTTGGCAGGGATAGGGTGTCATTCATTTTTTTATCATATACTTTCATTTAGGAAAGCAAAGAAACTCTTAAAAATAAAGCTCTCCTTTCCCATGCCTTTTAGAAAAATTATGTAAAATGGTATCCAAATAATTTAGAAATAAATGTATATTTATATTGTTATTATAAACTGATTGTAGGGCTTCCCTGGTGGCGCAGTGGTTGAAAGTCCGCCTGCTGATGCAGGGGACAGGGGTTCATGCCCCGGTCCAGGAAGATCCCACATGCTGCGGAGCGGCTGGGCCTGTGAGCCATGGCCGCTGAGCCTGTGCGTCCGGAGCCTGTGCTCCGCAACGGGAGAGGCCACAACGGTGAGAGGCCCGTGTACCGCAAAAAACAAAAAACAAAAAAACAAACTGATTGTAGAAAGGCCACCAAAAAAGACCAAGAAATGTATTTTAAGCAAGAGAACATACAAAAATGGAATGCACAGAGGAACACAAACAGGATAGAATAAAATCATCATTTCCCAAGTTACCCTGAGTAAATAAGAGCTTTACAGCTGTTTCTTAAGAGAAAGGAGAGTTATGAAGTGCCTTCGAATGTGCATTCCTGGAATAACTAGGACTATCCATCCTGATAAATACAGATGGGGGTAAGTGGGAAGGAAGTCAACATCTCCCAAGCAGCCTGTGCCTGACTACTCCAGGAATAAGCTAGATGTGGCTCAGAGTTTACTTTCTTTCCTTCACAAGTGATAAATCAACTTAACAGTTTAATGCATTTTAAAATGGGAGGGAGCAGAAAGAGTACACCCTTAAAGTGTGTGTGTATATATATATATATATATATATATATATATGTGTGTGTGTGTGTGTCTGTGTGTATATATATATTAGACATGCATTTTACAGGTCTAGTGGAAAGGGCACTAAGCTAAAAGAACACTGCAATTAACTGAGCTAGAATGCACTACTAAACTTCTGCTGTATATCATGTTCTCATGTAAGTCTGGGGAATACCCAACTCATAAGCTTGACTGTAAACATGAACAAGCCCTTGGGAAATTGAAAAACAGAGCACAAGTGCATTGGGGCACTATTATGATTAAGGCTCTTTCCTCTTCCAGACCCCAAAGGAACCACTATTTTGATCTGTACTGTAGTTAAGAGCTAGGGCTCCAGAGTCAAGAGACTCAAATCTCAGTGTTCACTACTTAACAGTTTCCTCATGTGTATCATGGGATAATAGTCCCGATCTCACAGGCCATGTATGCAGCACTTTAACTGATGAAGAATTGATGAAGAATTGATGAAGAAATTGATGAAGAAAACTTTGAACAGTACTTTGGTAAGCTCTGTGTTAAACTTAGGTATTCTTTTCATGATCATAATTATTAACCACCCGTAACAGTAACAACAGTTGATATTTATTGAACACTTACTATGTGATAGACATGGTTTTAAGCATTTTACATCTTTCACTCATTTAATCCTAACAAAAACTCTATGAGGAAGGTATTATTGTTACTCTTATTTTTTTATTATTTTTTTTTATTTTACAGATAAATTAAGCTATGGAGAAATCATGATGTGTCTCTGATCACTAAGCCAGTAACTGATGAAGACCAGCAGACTGCTGACGCAAACCAGCAGTCTGAGACTAAAGCTTACACACTTAAACAATATGCTCAAATGCCTTTAAAAAATCAGTTTTTATCAATTTTCAGATAGGTATAATGAGTAAAAAAAAAACCACACAAAATTCTTAGCATTGTGTCTGGCCCAGAGAAAGCACTCAGTAAATGATACTTGTTGCTACTATTATGCTACTATTATTTTTAAAAATTCAAATTGACATATTAATCCTCCCTGAAAATAAGCAAAAGAGAAATTTCTAAAATTTAGGGCAATAAGAAAACTTTTGTGAAAAATTTAAAAGGAACTCTTAAAAAAATACTTTAAAATTCCTAATATGTTTCATAAATCTTAAGGTAGAGGAAAAGGCAATTACATGAATATGTGAAGGATACACTTAACATCTGTTTATATGTAAAAACCCATTTGGTTTTTGCAACTAATGACTAATGAAGTCAATAAAGAAGAAAGTTAAAAAACAACCAACTAAAATGTGTGGTTTGGACTATAGTTAAAAAATAAATTGAATGCTATACCTTGTTTATCTTTGCTTGAACTAAGCCCATAAAAGCCTGACAGTCAGTAATAACATTCTTTAGAAATATTTATAGACTGTTTAATATAGTATGAATAAATGAGACATTAGTACAAGAGTATAATGTGGAAGTTTTCCTAAAAGTTCAATTTACTTTTCCTGAGAATTCTCTTTTAAAGTAAATTCTCTTTTAAAGTAAACTTACAGAACATGTATAAGTTTGAATATGAATAGGTGACAAGAACAGGTGATACTTATAAAAATCCATCAGGTTTTAGGTTCATCAGCAGGTCAAGTATGAAGAGTACTTTGCGAAAAACTATCACATTCATCAGTTGGATTAGAGTAAAAACGCTCACTTACCCCTTGGCCGACTGCAACGCGCTCCAGTGCCTTTAAGGAGAAAAAAATAAGACAAAGACAGCTGATATATTTAGTCTTGTCTTATAAGACTTATAAACACACTGTATAAGGGCTTGTAAAAGTGACATTTAAAAAGATTAATTAAATGATAACATATAAGTTTATACACTTAAAAGTGTTAATAACATTAAGGAATGTTAACTGGTACACTTGTATAATTTAGGGCTGATATATGGATGTGTGTCATGCACACAAACACATACACACCCCAACTGTATACACTCCTTGAATTTTAGAAGGAATTAGAAAACAGGAAAGAAAGAAAATGACATATTCTTGGCTCACTTTTATTGCAGCTAAAACAATCAAATAAATCCAAAACTATTATTATTTATAGACATACATAAACATATTTATATACATACTACTTTTTAACTTATTTTCTTCCAATTTTTTATAAACGTATAATTTCATCTTTTATTAAACAAGATTATATTGAACTGATTATAGTTGAAATCTTAGTTTAGAAAAGTACATATATTTTTGGTCTGCATGGTCAAATTCAAATCAAATTCACATATGATCAAGTCACCGTAAGAGAAAGTAATACATATTTTTGCAATTTTATAGGTAGCTGCTTTTACACTGATATTTATTTAAAATTCAAAACACTTTTATAAAAAAAAAATTATAAAATTTTCCCAATATTTATAAAATTTTATAAAGTTTTCCCAATATTTTATAAAATTTTCCCAATATTTCTCATAAATACTCATAATCTAACATACATGAAAGGATTTGTTATAATTTAAAAATGGAATAGGGCCTTCTGAAACTTTCAATTTTTTAGACATGCATTTCTACACTTACGTTGTTTTATAACTAAATTAGATATAACATTTTAGCTAAAATTTTATTTTTAAAGTTTTCCTTAGAAAATATTTCAAACATAAAGAAAAACAGTAAAATGTAACAGTGCATATACTTCCTACTCACATTTAAAGTACTCATATTTGCTTCAGATGGCTATGTCTTTATAAATAATACTTTTTAGATACAGCTGAATCGTGTACTTTTAAAACTGAAAGAAAATGTGCAGATTATCCCAAGTGCAATTTTCTCAGATGCACGAGGTCACTGACAATGGCAGGGTCTTGACACAAGCTGCACAGCTAGTTAGCAGGTGAATAGGAACTAAAAACTTGTTTTCTGAACCCCGGTTTACTTCTCATGCCCTCACACCATGAAGAGTTAGTGGGAAAATGAGTTCATGGTATAAAAGCTTGCTTTAAAGAAATTTTTTGAAGAAAAAAAAATGTAATTTTTCCATTGACTTCAAGGATACCTTCATGAACATCAAGAACCAGAGTGCTATGAATACAGAAGATAGTTACTATATAATTTTTGTATTAAATTAAGTAGCAACAGGCCCAGAACAAGTATGTTATTGAAGAAAACAGAGTTTTCATTTACAGTACTGGTTGTGTTCATTTCAGATTAAATTTTTGTGTTACTTGCTTTGCTAAAAGGCCGAACTATCAATAATAAAGATACAAAAGTTTTTAATAATAAATGATTTGGCATCAATAAAAATCTCATATAACTCAGGACTACTTTTGGTATGTGTTGCTGATGTGTTTGTTTTAGAAATACCAATGATAAATTCTGATTACATAATAAAAGATAATCAGGTAGGTGATAAGCAGTTTCTCACAAACATTAATAATTTTTCTTGGCCAATAAATATACCAAGTGTTCGTTTCATACTAATCTAAAATATTTTACAGTTTTATCAGGCTAAAAGTATGCTGACAAGATTGCACTAATGTAATTAAATTTTCCCCTCTGGTTAGTACCCTTAACAATTTATCTGAAAGTGTCACCAGAAAGGTATACTTCTCTCTCTCTCTCTCTCTCTCTGTGTGTCTCTCTCTCAACCCCTTAAGTTTTGAATATTTGTAGAAAAGGTCAGTTATGGAGCAAAAGGCAATAAAACAAGATGCACCAAAAGAAATATGTTCCTTAGACTTTCCTAGATTAGCATCAAAAAAAAGAAGTCAAGGTGAGCAAAGACAGGGATAGAGTTTAGGAGAGGGGCATTCCATGAGAAGCTGACATTGGTCAGGCAAAGTTCTTAAGTGTGGCACGGTTGACAAATTCTACATTCTGGAATTTATTTTTCAAAAACTCTTCTTTTTGGTTTGTTGAATGTTTATTTTTATAGCAAACATTTTTATTTTGTGGATATATTATATCATTTTATTTTCTAAGGGATACTAATAGTTATTTTATTTTACTTTGGATAGTATCCATTTCCTCCAAGTTGCTACTCTTCTATTTGTTTATCTGATCTCTTTTCTTTCATGTTAGACTTTCTTAGACAACTAGTGATTCTTGGCTTTTTGATAATTAAAATGTGGTAATCATAAACTTGATTAGAAGCACTGTGCTTATGAGTGAGGACTTTTAATTGTGGATCTCACCACAAAGGTCCTATTTCATTGTGAAATCCCTAATGCCAATACCTTTAGTCTTTTCTCTTAGGCTAATCAGATTCCCTATAAAAGACTATTTCAGTTTCTTGCCTAGAGGGTATAAGCTGCCAGCATTCTGGGAACCAAGTCATTCCAAGAATGACCTCCCATTCTAACAAGACCCTAAATGAGTATCATTTACAAATATAATGAAAGAAAGCCAAATTCCCAGAAAAGTATTTTAAGAGGACTCACAAAAGGAAATCATTATTTGAGCATAAATAAGATTTCGAAGTTAATTCTCAGATATGTGACCCAGAACACTAGAACACTTTTTTATATTGCTGTGTTACTGGCAATATAAAAAATATTGAGATAATGACTACAAAATAGTTAATTTATCTTGGGATTGGGCATTAAACACATTATTTTAAAAGCTATATTTTAAATTTATGATGACAAAGTCCACTTATACCATTTAACTGGCATCTGTTCCTTTTTAAACCAACATAACACCACAAACAGAGAAGACTGTGGCTAAAGTGTTCTAGGTCTAAGGACACGAGCTAAATAAAGATTTCACTTAACTAGATAGTTACTTCATATCCCAGGTAGCTTAATAATATTTTTCCCATTTTATAAAAAATTAGGAGGCCAAATGATCTGCTACAAACAAACACAAACATACCACAGAGCTGTGGATAAAGCACTACAGTAATTCTGTGTTTAAGACTTGGTTGTTGGTACATTTTATATGATAATTAAAGTAATTATATGTAAGAAATTAAGTACTATAATGTAGAATTATAGTATAATTATAAATTGTTATCACACTGCATGCAGAGTAATGTTGGAAAGGTAAGTCATTTTCTTCCTCATAATTTGCAATGCACAAAAACATTAATTATGACACTCTGCAAAATTTGGCATTTAATGAAGCCAAAAATAAATAAATATAATTCTGCAACATCTGGATAAAACTCTAAGTCCAGGAAAAAAAACAGTCATACCAAACATGCTGACATTCTGGCATTCCGGCCACAGCACCATCTCTCTTCCTTTAAATAGTGGCACATTGGAAATCCCCACTTTTCTTGGGTACATTCTGCAGACGGAATAAAAATACGGATTATTTAAATAAAATTCTTCCTCTTTTAGTTAAAGTAAATAATCTATTGAGAAAGCAAATCAGTCATTTGAAAGTCAAACAGTAGTTTAACATGTAAGTGGTAATGTTTAACAGTTCATTCCAGTATGTTAATTAAAAGCATATTAATGTTATGAAAATGGTATTTTCTCAACAACAGCTGTTTTGTATTTAAGCTCCAGGTCTGATACCAACCAATTTGCCAAAATTATTTCTCAAATATTTAGCAAAAGCAATTTAAAATGGAAATACTTTGCATGTTCAGTGTAACTACAGAAGAAAAGTAATGAGATACTGGGCATTTACTGCTGACCCGACTTTCTAATAAAATGGTTTATTAAATGTGACATTTGGCAACTTATTATAGAACAATATTAATTCATTCCTAACAATGTGGAAGCACCAATTTTTTTTCCAGCCACGATGTTCACTTTCCAGAAAATGAACAGCTGTATAGGCTCTTATTTTTTCACTCCCTTGACAGGCTGTAAGATTTTCAACTGTGATTCAGTTTGGCTCAACTGCATTTATGGTTCGAGTAACAACAAAAAAAATCAACATTTTCTGCTTAATCACAGGTATCTGCTGCCCAACTCACTAACAGAGTTACACGTGCAACTTGCAGATGTGTAAGCCCCTTATGTACAACTATTAACTGCACAGGGTTTCTCAAAAGGAAAAAAAAAAATTTCTATTTTAAATTAAAGTCTAGAAAAGCTTAAGCCTATCAAAACTGTAGCAATTAAAAGAAAACTGAGATGAATATAAATTTTCTATTAGGTTAAGTAAAACAGGAACTAGAAAACAAGAAAATGCTTTAAAAGAAAATACTGTTGAGGTAGATTCCACTAAATAAACTTCTGTGTTATGAAAGGTCAAATGATTTTTTATTAAAATAGAGAAAATTTAAATTTCATGCAGATCATAAGCCTGTGATAGTGATTTCTTTCAGGTATTAAAGTAAGATTTACAATAGACGTTATTGATACTCAGATGGAAGATACTGACCCTGCCCTAGGAATATAAATAATAATAATGCTAGTATTTATACAGCACTTAATATTGTTAGGCACTATTGTAAGTGCTTTAAATGTAATAACTAGCTTTAAATGCTAAGAGCGTTAAATGTATTAACTAGTCCCCACAGCAATTCTGTGAAATAGGTATACTATTATTCTCATGTTTCAGATAGAGAAAGTGAGCACAGGGAGGTTAAGAAAACTGCCTAAGTTGCAAATCTAGCACATGGCAGAGTTGGAATTTAAACCCAGGCAGTCTGACACCAGGGGCCATGCTCTTAACCACCAGGCTATATAAACAATTTCACTTTACAAGTGCCCAGGAATCATGGAGCCCTTGAAGCCTATCCAGTAACTAGGGACCCTGGATTACTTCTCTGTCAATTTCCAAGATGCCTTGAAACAGCAGTTTGAGTTTTACTGAAGGCTTTATGATTTAACTGAAACATGATTATTGCTAAATCAAAGGGTTACTCTAAGTACTTCAATTTTTTTCTTACAACTGAAGAAAGAAATATCTAAACTTTACTGTAAAGGGTAAGGGGCTAGAGAAATGGGGTTGTGGTCTTTTATTGAGAGTGTTAGGAAAAGTGCTAACCAATAAAACAGCTAGTTCTTTCCCTTCCCCCATCTGTTCTCTCCTTCTTCCTTGTAGTAACAGCACTCAATTTTTACCTGGCTATTCAGCTGCTCGGGTTAAAGACTGCAATTCCCAGACTCCCATGCAGTCACTAGGATAGCTAGAGGGTAAGTTTTGGCTAACTGGATGAGGGCAGAAATGATGTGTGCAAATGCTCAAAGAGGAGTGGGGGGGGGGGGCATGATCTTTCCCCCACACTTTCCACTCTACTTCATCCCTCGAATGTGTTCATGTTGGCAAGCAGATGGTGGAGCAACAAAATAGAAGGACTCTGGGTTCTTGGAAGGCTTTTTGGTGCAGAGCTCCCTTACTAACTCTGTCTACCTCTGGACTGAAACAGAAATATCTATCTGTCTTGTTGAAGTCACTGTTACTTTGGGTTTGAACCCATTTTGCACCTAAATCTTTATCTTAATGCTTCCCAAACTTTTTTTGTAGCTCAGCCCTCTGGGAATATGGCAAATTTTGTACATCACAGTGGAATAAACAGATAACTGTGTTGAGGCAAAACCTATGGGATGAAGGAAGCAGTATCCCGGGAACTCCCATATAGCATCCACAGCACACTAGTTGAATACTTCTGCCCTAATTAATACAGAAGTCTTCTTTGAGGATGTGATATTTGAGCAGAGATTTAAACGAGGAAGCAAGCCATGTAAATATTAGGGGAAGACAATGAAAAACAAACAAACAAAGTGCTTCCAACAGGATACAGTTAATCTCCAAAAACATAATACCAGAACATTTTACCATTTAAAATGATTAGCCAGCAATTTCTCAACTTATAATATCCCAACCAAATACCTACAAAATAAATTTCTACTAGGGGAAAAGAAGAAATGAAAGTCAACTTACTACAGAACATGAAAAGAATCCCACTTAAGAAACAAGCAATGCATTTGTAATGAAAAGTATAATTAGTGTGCCATCATTGCTCTGCAATTCACCTTATGTTGCCAGGAAAAAAGCAGGTCTACTTGTCTGAAAACAGGTAGAAATTTCCTCTGCCAATAATAATCTAAAAAAACTGACTGAGAAAAATTATAACTTATCATTAGATTGAAATGGGAAGAGTATTTCTGGAAAATATATTACAATGGAAGGGGTATATTATTTCCAGGAAAAAAAAAATCTAAGAAATCCATGTCAAAGTTACTCTCAAATTGTTGACCTATAGAAACTGTAAGAGATAATAAAATTTATTCTGTCTCTAAGCCATTCAGTTTTGTGGTGATTTCTGAAACAGCATTAGATGATGCATACAGTCTTGAAGTAGCAATCGAGAGGCTAATTACCTCATACAAGGGAACTGAGACAGAAAAATGCACTGCTCGATGAGGATGGGAAGTATGCTTCCTCAGCAAAGAGCTAAGTTTTGATTAGACAGTAAAGGAATTTTCAGAGAATAGGCTGCAGATAAAGACACTTTTAGTAATGAATGACCAAATTCCAGAAAATTTTGGAATTGAGGAGAGGTAGAAGACTAGTCAGAACAAAGGACATATAGAGATACATTTGATGAGAATCCCAGAAATCAGGAATGAATTGTGAGGCCAGGGTTTCTGGTGAGGGCTGACATGAATGGGGATCAAAGGCACGATGGGATTTGGTCTTTACCATCCCTAGAGAGATAGTGGTGAAGCTGTGAGTGTTGTGGTAGGGGCGGAGGAAGGAATTTTTCAGGGGAATACAGAGTTCTGGGCTTGACAGTTGATAAAGGGAAGATGCAGACACCGATACACAGGACTCCTGGCATTCCTCTTGATTTCAGATGATATAGCATGGAAGCCAGCAGGGGAGCAGTCACAAACTGAGCACACAGGGCTGTCACTGGAGAAATGGAGGCTGAAAGATGGCAAGCATGTTCCCTAACTTGTGTTGATGAAGGTGAAGGCCTACAGAAGGGTGCCCTTAACCTGTGTGTAAGAAAGTTCTCCCTTCAACCCTACATAACAGTGTGAAGGACAGCTGAAGGGCAGTCTTACTCCATGCACATGGCTCCCCAAATCTCTATCCAAAACACCCATGAACTTTAAGGTCCTAGGGCAGTTTACAGCAATTGCCAGCCTTGGCTCAGGGCTATGTGAAACCACATTAAAGACTCACTCCTCTGGACAACCCAATGATTGTGTAATCACCTTGAAGTTTTCTGAGTCTGCGTCACAGTTTCCTCTTTGACTGAGGTCACAGTAGCCTCACAGCTGTTCAATTTGTAAGAGAACAAGTGCAAAAAACTGATACAGAGAGACACCCTCAAACAAAGCCTTTCATATACTGATTCAATATAATCTTTAGAATCTATTTCACCAGCTTCATTCTGACTGCAGTGAAGAATGAGGCTCCCTTCTACGTCCTGTATCAAAGTCACTGTGTTCACCATTTCTATTGTTAAGTCTCGGTCTCCTATTTAACTGTGTTCATATACTTATATTCAAATCTAGTTAAACTGGGCATTAAACTTCCTTATCAGTGAATCAAGTTGCTTTCCTTTACGAGCACTTTCATGCTATCTTTAAATGATAATTTTGGAGTAGATGAAGCCTCTTGTTTTTTTCTTCTATTTCATTTCTTAGTCTTTTTTTTTTTTACATGAGATATTACTTGTTTTTATTGGTTATCTGTTTTATACATATTAGTGTATATATGTCAATCCCAATCTCCCAATTCATCCCACCACCCTCCTGCCCGGCATTCCCCACTTGATGTCCATTCGTTTATTCTCTACATCTATGTCTCTATTTCTGCCTTGAAAATGGATTCATCTGTACCATTTTTCTAGATTCCACATACATGCGTTAATATACGATATTTGTTTTTCTCTTTCTGACTTACTTCACTCTGTATGACAGTCTCTAGGTCCACTCACATCTCTACAAATGACCCAATTTCATTCCTTTTTATGGCTGAGTAATATTCCATTGCATATATGTACCACATCTTCTTTATCCATTTGTCTGTCGATGGGCATTTAAATTGCTTCCATAACCTGGCTACTGTAAATACTGCTGCAATGAACACTGGGGTGCATGTGCCTTTTTGAATTATGGTTTTCTCTGCATATATGCCCAGTTTCTTAGTCTTTGCTGGCTTTAGAAATACATTACTCTTGTAAATGTAGATGTTCTACTAGTTCTTCCTTCTTGTGTTAATAATATTATCCACTTAATTAAACAAGTTTGAATTTTAGAACAACCTTTTATTCTTCTCTCCTTTAATCTCCAAGTTCTTATATACGCATCCTCTTAATTATATCTCCTTTTCGTTTTCAATCTTCATTAGCTCTTGACTGGGTAAATGTA